AATTAAATTTAATTTAACTTACTAGTAACTACGTAAGGAAACGTTTTAAAAGTTAACGTAATTTAGTTAAACTTAGACATGACAATAGTTGTTGTGTGTGTGTGTGTGTGTGTGTGTGTATAACCTTTCATAAAACTGTAATTTCCATACATAGGGCACATACTTCATGCCTTTTACAAGCTGAGCTCTTTTTTTTCCAAATAGATCAACATTTAAATAAAATACTTTCTATATGTTTTGGTATTTTAAATTTAATGAAAATTGAATTTCAGATTTTTTTTTTGCTGTTTTATAATTAAACTTCATGATGGTCTGTCAAGCTGATCAAATAACCAATAAACAATTTATAAACTATTACATTAATAAGGTAACAAAAAATAATGGTCACGGGTTTTGGAAATCTTGTACTTTTTAGTTAATTTTAACTTTCTGTTTCTTACAATAATAACTTTATCACTATTCTGAAAATCTGAAACTATGTTTTCTGTAGACTACTACATAGAAACATAGGTTTATAATTCTTGAGACATATATTTAGTGTATACATACATATATATAAAATAGCTTTGCATAATGACGACAGAAATAAAGTTCCCCAATAACACTTGCCTGAATAATGCTCACTTTCATGCCAGCAAGATGAAGTATAGGAGCTGCATATTTCTCGTATAATGTCTTTCCTTTCCTAATGATAGATAATTAGTGGTTTCAAATTTCTCTGTATGAGTGAAAGAAAACATCTAATATAAGTACATTATGTGTTGTAAAACCTGATCACTTTAGATTATTATTGTTTATTATAATAACTTTTATATGATGTCTTTTGCATTTATGTTATATCTATCTAAGAAAAGAAGCATTCCGCTTTTTTTTATTTTACTTTTATATACTATGTTGGATATCCTGCACACAGGAAGAAATCATACTAAAAATGAATATGAACCCCAATCTATATTTTGATTCACTACTTGTCACTGAGTTTAACTGGTTTAAGGAAATTCCACCCTTCATCTGTAACTGCGGAGTAGGGGCAAATCAAAAGAATAAAACTACGATTATTGTACCAAGGTGGAGTGTATATTATATGTATAGATACAAAGAAAGAAGTAACTATAAACCTATTTTACTGGGCAAACTGTACAGATGTTTCAAGTAAGTTTAATGCATTTCAATGTTTATTTCCAACTCTAGTACATCAATTTTTTCCAAGATGTCTTGCTGCTAATGAACTGATTATTAAATGAAAGCAAGAATTTTACCCATCTTTGGATGTAGGGTTTAAGATAACAGTGATGTGACGAGGTTTGGATCCTATAGGTAATGGTTCTTCGCCATATTTCTGTTTTAAAAAATTCATAAAACATGGACTGAAATTATACACATAAATACAACAAACCAATAAAATATAAAAAATAACAACTGTAGTTGCATTTAGGATTCCCGAGTCTCTAACAAAAACTTTTTCTTACTTCTCCAAATGGTTTAACCTATGTTATACATATACAACATTAAAGCATATAATGCAGCATAAAATAAGTGTGCTAATATAAAACTTACACCATAAGTTTAAATAATTTTGCTACAATCAATAAAAAATAAACTGATATAAATTTACTATTTTATAAAAAGCTTGAAACTTCCATACAAAGGTGTCTACTAATAACATCAGAGCTTTTATATGCAGGGGCTCTTACCCAAGCACTCCCCAGATTTCCATATATTATTTTCAATATGTTTTGATATTAAAAACTTACTGAAAATCACATTTAATGGAACCCCAACATTTTTGGTAATATTGTATTCAAGTTTCATGATGTTCTACCATTTTTATATTGATGTGTTCATTACTGAATCAAATTAATTTTTGGTTAAGACAGTCTTTTTTTTTGTCGTTGTTAAAATGAGATTTACTATGCCTGAAGTATTCACCTATAAAAATGTTTACCTGTTTGGTAAAATAAGGTGTAAAACTGTAAATAATAAATTCTGAAGCATTAATATTTAAGTAGTGATGAGCCACAAACATGGCTTTCTGCTGCAAACAAAAAAAAAATTAGGAAATTAAATGATCTTCACAATAAAACAATCAATATTCATAACACTGATACAAAATGTTACCTATCAGTCATTCAGTATTTTTTCTTTAAGGTACAAAAATATACAAGATATGCTAAAAATATACATACCCTTGCTTCCTCACAATACGCTCGCATCAGCTGAGTTGTTCTAAAAAAAAAGCAGAATGTTTATAATTTGAGGTAACATATGATCACTAAGATTAAATGACCAATTAATGACATATTGTTTTAGGACAACATGGGACCTATTGGTCCATCTTAGCTGTTCCATGCTCTAAAATAAACTAAAACTATTAATAAATTAATTTTTTTTTTAGAAAATCTTAAAGCCAGCACTTATCATTCATATACTTATAAAGCTTTTTCTTAAACTCACTTAAATTTACTGCCTCCACAACATCCAAAGGCAACCCATTCCAAATGTCAACCACTCTGTTAGAAAAATAAAACTATCTTAGCTGAAGATGACTCCTACCCTACAAAAATTTATAGCTGTGTTCCCTAATCCTACTATTCTCACTGTTAGGTATGAAACATAAAAATTTTTTTTGTAATAGCTAAACATTTCAGAGCCTTAACAGACTGAATCTAGTGAGTAGTGCCTAATATGCTGATTGTTAACTGGTCAAACTTACATAAATAAGAGCTATTTACACTTTATGAATTATTTTTAAATGTTAAACTGAATTGTCTTTTTGTTGGTATTACATTTAATAGTCTTAATGCTAGAAGTCAGTTTGAAAGTTTCATTTCAGGACTCTTAAAGTCAATTTGATTTTTCTTGCATACTAAGAACTAACTGCATAAGTTTAGCCTATGTTTATAGAAGTTTCTTATAAGACCTAAAATTCATAGTCTTTATGAGTACCACACAGTTTTTAATAATAATACTACCTACTCAATTAGTAAGGTAATTCAGTTAGTTTTAAAAGCGTTTGTTATATAAGTTTAAGTAAAATCAATAAATAGGCATAGTACCATATCAGAAAACAACAGCATTATGATACATCATATAATCATATCAATTTTACTGCATGTATCTAAATTTCAATTAATAATCTACAAGCAGATTGTGCAATTAAAATTATAAATATCTTCCTTTAAATTTGCAGTTTAACTTCAAGGGTCATTTTAACATGCTTTTGTTTATATAATCTACTTTCTAAGTATATAAAGTAGCAAACTGCTTTCATAAAATAACCTAAAAGAAGTATTGAAATTAAATATTTATTTTAAACTACATTAACAATATTATTATTAGTAATATTACTATTAGCACCAGTAGGATACTTTGACAACTATATAATACTGATATGTGATAACACTAAGAATAATGTTCAATGACTACCTTCACGCACCACTAAGCATATATATCTTGTGCAAGTGAAAGTATCACTAGCACAACTTAGTCCCCAGTCCACTTAAAACTAAGTTTCACTTTCACTCAGTTTCAGGTGATTATATACTGAACTTTATTTGCCACGTCTACAAAGTACAAGTTCAGTTTAGTTCTAGCTCAATATGATAATAATAATCCAATTAGTGCTAGAAGAAAAGAAGTTTTAAGTCTACCTTTTTAATAATTATAGGATAAGTATTAATTTTATCCAATTTTAGACCGAATCATAATGAAATCACCTGTATTTGTCATGAAGATAATTTGTACCATATGATAACAATACAGCAGCCAATGTACTCTTTTTCCAATGATTTCTCAATGTTTTCAATACTTTCAAAAGTTTAGCCATCACTTATAACATTTATCAAAGGATTATTTTTTTAAATATAAAAGCTGAGATAGTACTTTTTAATATTTACAATTTACTATGCCAGTAAGAAACTCATGCTCTGAAACACTCTAACTACGAGTGCCGTCTTGTGGACAGTAAAATTCGACACCCTAATATAGAAAATAAATGTCCTAGACTTATTAATATGATAATTAAATATATGAATTTGTTTTAAAATGTTACAAAATATTCCTTATAATAAATTGTGTAGTATGATTATATCTAATAAAATGTGCTTAGTAAGACTGTGTGTTAAATAAAATACAAAATACGAAACTAATAATGCATCCAGCACAAAATGATAATATAAATATTCACACAGTGAATTTTATTATTATCATCGGGATACTATAAATTTGTATCCCCACATTCTAGAAACATAATCCTGTTAAGTGGCTAGAATTGCTAAGAGGTCTAGAAACAAATTAACAATAGATTTTCATTTTCTGAGATTTTACTCATGCGAAAATTTGTGGTGCATTTGAAAATGGCAATTACGGTTAAATTATTTCGTTGATAGAATTACATGTTATTTATCAGTGTCAGTGTACTTATTTCTTTTAAGGTGTTTCATATTGATTTGTTGCTTTACTTCTAACTTGGAGTGATTTAAAACATTATCATGGTTCCAGTGACGTTTGACATAAATTAGAAACTGGTCATAGAAATGTTTGTGATAAGATCGTTCATGAGAACATCAAAAAGGTAGCATTTTAAGTGCAACTCCTGCTTTCAAAGAAGACAGTAACATACTTTGCCAAAGATTGAAAGTGGCTTTTATGAGAATAAAAGAGTAAAAGACTGAGACACTTATTTTTATTTTATTTTATGTTTTGTTCATGAAGTGAAGAGGATTATAGTGTAGAAATTAACAAATGTTGTATATTAAAGTATTTAAGTGTCAAATACTACGATTTTAATAAAATAAAAACATAGTTAGGAATAATTAAACGCGAAGTATAAATCCTGAAAAAATTAATAAGGCCCTGTAGAAGAACATTACCACCAAGTGTAATTCAAAAGATGTCATCAAAGTGTTTTTGTATTCAGTGAAGATTGGCCTTTTATGATCGGTTATCTTAGAGTAAATGTTTTCGGAATTGGAATTTTCTACCAGGATAGTACCTTATGTATACATGGGCTAAACTTCCAGATTTAGATATCTCTAATTTTAAAATACTGTGGTATTATTAGGTGCATTGATAACTTCACACCAATAGTTTGAGGAATAACAGAAAATGCAGCACGGAAAAGAGCCTGAATTTCTGATCTGACTTAGTTTGGAGAAAGAGACCAAATACAATGTACAAGCAAAGTGAAAAGTAATCTTTGTTAATAACCAAAGGCAAAAGAGTACATTTAACAGTGCTTCATCGGTAATCTGGTTCTGTGATCTGGGACAGATTAAGACTTATTTGTCTGTAACTTTACTTGTTCCGGACCAAGAGAGCATATAAAAAAAAATTATAACGCACTTCTCAGATCTCTAAGTACCATTCCAAAAGAAACATTAGGGAAGGTATAACCTCAAGGTATTACCTGACCTGCCAGTAGAAAAGATCACTCTCTTTACGTATGTATCCTACTATACAGAAATTTTTGCCATGAAAAAGCACACGTGATACAATACGGGAATGACCCAGAATAATGTGTAGCTAGAATGAAGAAAGTTAGCTCTACCAATGTTTTATTGTCAAAGCCACACACACACACACACAGAGTTAAAACCTGAATGTATAAAATGTGAAAAATATTGAAGAAAACAGGAAACACGTAATACGCTTTGCATAACATATTGCTGACCAGATGGAAGGAACCCAGTCAGCAGCACTCGCTGCCATAAGAGCTTTGCCAAGTTCATTTACCTACCTAACAAGATTTACTGTCGTATTTATAATGTGCCCACAGTTGAAAGCATGAAGCGTGTTTAAAAAAAATGACATTTTCATCAAAAAATACCAAGGCTATATACTCCTGGTAATTTTCAGAAATTTCGTAATTTTTTTTTTCGATTTATTCAACTACAAAGATGCACTTGATGTATGTTTTTTTAAATGAAACTCCCTTCATCAAAACTCTCAAGCTTTATTTCTCTATTTGTCATGAATATTACAGTTAGCTTCGATTTTATTATATTTCTGAATGAAAGGCAAACGATGGAAGGGCTTCAAAAACAGGAGTTTCTAATCAAAATTCCTAAATCTAGAATATCGTTACTGCTTCTATCCATATTTAGTGTACTCTTAAGTTTGGTTTTTACTCTGGACAAGATAAAATTGTTGTTTTAGCTTTTGAAGCGATGTAATATTTTTTATTAAAGTTCTAATGTTTCAGAATTGAGTTTTTCTAAGAAATAAACAAAATCAAAGATGTCGCACTTTATTTTGCATTAAAAACGCACATTTTTTGCGCGTTAAAAAAAGATTTTTTATCAAAAATTTGGTGAATATTTTTTTCGCGTTATTCGTCTAAAAAGATGCACTTGATGTACGTTTGTCAAAATGGAACTCCTTTCATCAAAGCTCCCAATATTTTTCCTTGACTTGTCATGAATATTCCAGCTAGCTTCGATATTAGTTTATATCTGAAGAAAAGATAAACAATAGAAGGGCTTCAAAAATAGGAATTTTAAATCAAAATTCCTAAATCTAGAAGGCCATTACGGCTTCTTTTCATATTTAGTCCACGATTAAAATAGTATGAAGGGTTTAGAAGCTTTAATTTAAAACCCCTCCCCCTTCCCAAGTTGCACAGCGGCATGTCTGCAGACTTACAACGCTATAAACCGGGTTTCGATACAACGCCACGCGTGCTTTTATGAATTGTTTTCCTTTATATGATCTAGCTGAATTATAAACGCTGATCTAGAAACCGAATTTTGGATTATAGCTAAGTATGATATTAAATGATAATTTGTTTTTTATAACACTCATATCAAGCATTTAAAATTAAACTGTTTGTTGAAAGTTAAGCACAAGCTGCACAATGGGCTAACCGTGCTCTGCCCACCACGGGTATCGAAACCCGGGTTCTAGCGTTGTAAATCCGCAAACATACCGCTGTGCCACTGGAGGGCAAACAGTAGAGGTATTAAACTGTCTTAGTTTTATGGGGGGGGGGGGTTCTGTCCCAATTACAAACGGTAAAGGTATCAAACTGTTGCAGTTTTTTATGTTTTTTTTGTCCCAATCACAAGCAGTAAAGGTATTAAATTGCCCCTGTTTTTATGTATGTTTTCTGTCCCAATCACAAACAGTAAAGGTATTAAACTGTCCCACTTTCTCTGTACCTCAGTGTGATTGTGATATGTACAGTTTGTAGTATTCGACAGCTTTTTAAAATTTTGATTGGAAAATCTCCTGACAAATCACAGGGTACAGTGTTTTCTTAGCCTAACCTGTCGTTAGGTAGTCGCAGGAATTCAGATTTGAAGACCTGTCTAACCGTGAAAAGGAAAATGAATAAGCAAAATTTTTCTTTTCAGCAGGTTCCAACAAACTAAAGAGCTTTTATATTTTATTTACTTATCACTAGATAAACTTTTTACAAGTTTTGTTTGTTTATGATTTTAAAACGTGATGCAGTAAGCATCAGATTATTTAGCAAATTTAAAATGTGTTACTCTTATTCAAACTGTTCCAGGTATGGAAAAATATGTCCCAGTTTTTCACTCTGGAAATCTGGTAACCCTACATATGGTTATAATACAGCAGGTTTTGTAAAATTTATAGTTTTATTTTACGGTATTTTAAAACGTATCTATTGATTGTTGGAAATGAAAGCTGAGGAAAATTATCACCCAGTAAACTTTCTATCATAAAAAAAATGAACTTTTTTTAGGTATGCCTTTTAGTTATTTTGATATTATGATTGGCTTCTCACGTTATCTATATATTTAATTTTTTCCAAATGTTGAACCATTCTCCCAGAGTGAATTAAAAATTGTTGAAACATCATGAATTAATGTTAAAACTTTAATTGTAGTTTCCATCTTTGAATAATTTGAAACGGATTTACCAATAATTAGAGATCTGACTAGTTACTCTTGTCTTGTCAAGGGTAGATAATCGAAATTAATTAATTTTATTTGAGAATAAGACAAATAGGTTTCGAAGTGTACATGAGCTGTGGTGCGTTGCACTTCGAATTTGTTAAAAACGTTTTGTTTTGTTTTTCGGTGTGTCTTTGTTAAAGAGTATCACGTTTTATATGCTTACCAAAATGTGCCTCCATAAAAGGTTTAAACATGTAATACAGAAAATGTTTCACATATTTGCAATAAATTTATACAGTACGAAAGATTAAAATAATGTTTAGAAATAGATATGACCAAAACAGGGTCGAAGAGCATTTTATCTCTATTTCTATGAAACTAACTATACTTGACAGGAATTAAAAACAGAATAATCTTTATTTCAATTTCACTTATTTCCTTGAGGTCGAACTAATAAAATAAAATTGAAATTTATTGTCAACTAAATATGACATATCTGTGTAAAAAAAAAGAAAAAAAAAGAAAGAAAGTGAGAAAAAAATTAAATACAAAATTCGACCATTAAATAACATCCAGTTACAGTAGCTGATGAAAAATGTTAACTCTCCTATCAAAATCGGAAATAAATCTATTGATTTTCAAGACTAAGTTCCGTATAATTAATACAATAGAGGTGGATGTTTAGAAAAACACACAATCATCAAATAACAGTGGTTCCATATTTCAGAAAATCGAATAAATCAAAATAAATCCAGCTCATGTTCTACTTTCAAGGCCAAACAATATATGTATTCTTTTTGCAGACAAATTTAGTGAGGTAATATCATAATGTGCGGTATATTGTATTATACAAGTACAAAACAATGATATCAAATATCACTCAATACAAATAAGTACTAAAAAAATCGAAAACTAACCAGTTGATTACATGTAGATTAGGTTTACAATTCAAAGCCTCAAGTTAAGTAAAATGTGAATTACGTCTGTGTACATCAGTTTCATAAGAATTGAGACTGCAATTTATGACAATAACTTACATATTAATATCTACGTGTAGTAAGGCAAATTTCTGCACATATAAAATTCTTTTAAATTTTTATAAATACGTGTTTTAATACCTAATTTATATTTGTGTATTTCCACGGCAAGCAAGGAAAATTTGTGTCCCTTTTCCACAGTTTTTGTTACTAATACTATACCATACTGTTACTATACCCTACATTCGGGGTATTGAAGCTACGTAGTTATGACGTTTTTGTTTTGTTTTTCTTGTACAAATGATTTCGTTTTTATTATTATTTCACGCCTTTTCGATCCTTGAAATGGTCAAGTATTTTGTACGAACGTTGTTTCATGGTTATAGGATCGCAATAAAATGGGCGGTATTCAACGCGTTACATTATCCTTTTCAAAGTTCTGGTCTCTTAGCAACAACTACAGCATAATTAATATTCCAGATCACATTGCCATCTTTTCCCCTCTTCACGTTCTTTAGGGCTACTTTCAACATTTCTTTGGTGAACACGTGTTGTTTTCCTTCCGGTATGACTTGAATCAGTTGTTTAAAAAGAGACTTAACACATTCTGTAAAATAAAAGACAAAAAAAAAAAAAAGAAAAGAAAAATTCCTCAATAATCATATTTTTTAACTTCTGTAAATGCGTAATTGCAGCTTATTATAATCTTTTTTATTTTACAGGTATTTAAAAAAATATTACATGTTTTAATTTGTCATATTTAGAAAATTATAAACCAAACGATAAAAAGAAGATTTATAACTATAGTTTCTCCATTGCAGCATTACCGAATTAAAATAATAAAAAAAAGGTTTCATAATTCTTAGTGTAGTTACTATAATTATTAACTTTTCACTGCTTTATTAAAGTATTTAGTAACTGCAATGAACACAGAGTTAAAATACTGCATTATTTGAGTTTTTCTTTATCGTTACTATATTAAATCATGTGGCTACAGAAAAATATCGAGCACACATACTAGCATAAAACATAATCCCAGCTTTCCAAATGGTTTGAGATTTGGTTTTAAAAGTGGTTATAAAGACTAATTATCAACAAGTTAAGAACCTTTAAAAAAATCAATAATAATCAGATCTGTTCTGTCAAATTAACACTCAAAATACTTCGAGCCCAATGGCTTATAACACCTAAACTTAGGGATCGGTACCTGTGGTGGGCACAGTGCAGATGTCCTATTGGACAGATTTTCGCTTATCAACAAAGAAGTTTCTCAAATATTAAGTAATTTTGAAAAATTTATAGAAAAAAAAATGTTTGTTAAATATTATGAAGAAAACAGAAATAGTTTTTATTTGGATGTTTTCTATGAATGTATCGCAAAATGAATTATAATCGCGTGTGCAAAACTTCAGACAATAACAACTGCTCTTTCGGACTTGTGCTGTCTGATTTACCTAGATTTGGCGCCTGAATCGCAATCTGGGAGTCGCAAGTTCGAATCCCGTCTCTAAACATGCTCACTCGTTCAGCTTTGGGGGGCGTTTGTAAGAGAATAGCTCATGAGTTGACTAAGGTGCCTTCTTTCAATTCTATCAATTCTAAATTAGGGACAGTTAGCGCAGATACCCCTCTAGTGTCATTTTTGACTAAACTAAAAAAAAAAGAAAAATAACAAAGATATACCTTTATACTCGTCGTCGTCGGTAAAGGTGTAGCAGAAATCAACAAGTTTTGTTTTCAACACTTGATAGCCTGCTTGATCCAAGAGAGCAGAATAAACTCGGTCAGCATGTGGGTGATGAAACCAGAGACGGTTACAATTATCGTCTATCAAATCCACAACCAGATCTGAAACCGTCTGTCTCAAAAACACAAAACAACATTATATACATTTTCATGACAGATGTGGACCTGCTAACATTTTAAGCATACTAATACTTCAATGATGAGTGCCTAAGTAAAAATGGTAAATATTTACCTTGGTTTTCTAAGAGCAAAATAAGTTTATTTGCGTAACGAAATGAGCTGATAATAAATGTTATTGAAACGCTGTAACCCGGATTATTTGTATATACAGCTAACACGAACTAAAATGTCATCCAAAACAACTTGGTCGACAGGACTTCGCTTTTCCCCACTTCACTATTAGAAACTAAAAGTGTTATTTACACATACTTGTACGGTAGTCCTGTTTTTGAAGCTCTTGAACTCTGAATTTCTCGTACGCCATCTGCCTACTGAACTAAAGAGTTAACTTTTTAGAAACTCTTACTAAAACACTTTTAGAACAATTAAATCTATTAGAGTCTTCCCCCCTCTTATAAACAAGGCCCGTCATTTCAGGGTTGTAGAAACTGAACCTGTCACACTCTTTCCCTCTTGTGTTTAAGCAAACTTACATAATATTTACAAATATATATATATATTACATCCAGACATGTAGTTATCAACGAGTTTTCTTTTATTAGCCAATTCCTATGGATGAAGACAATTCTAATTGGTTTTTCAATTTAGTTTTACAACTCTATACCCTACCCACTCTAAGACTCACTCAAAGTAACCTCAGATGTTGTTCACAACAATAAACATTGTCATTGATTACCAATATGAGTAATTACTAATAATGATGCCTCAAGTGGCTCAGCGATAAATCTGAGGGCCTACATCGCTAAAACCGGGTTTTGATACTCGTGGCGGATACAACACAGACAACCAATCGTGCGGCTGTTTGCTCAACAACAAATAAATAATAGTAATAAAACTAACAATGAGCTGTATATTAAATATATTACAGGTAAAAAAAAAAAAGAAAACGAAGTTGGCTCCAATGCCAGCCTCCGTGACTGGTTCTCCAGATCGCTGGTTTAGCCATGGTTTGAGATGTTGTTGTTCTAACCTGCTTG